ATATAAAATATCTTCAGTGTTTTGAGAAACACTGAATTGTTCATACACATATTTTCATTACGCCCTATACCGCCAAAGATTCGACAACTAAGTGAGTGCATAACAAAGATGAAACTCAGAAAAACAGCTAAACAGTGGAGTATATTATCAAAATTCATTTATCAATTTAGAAATTAAACAACATAAATAGATGAAGTACATCAAAGGATGAAAGTATATACATCATGACAACACCGAGAGTTGAAGATCAAAGCATTGACACCCTCTGTACGTTATATATTTGGGAAAGTGGTCTAATTAATCATATAATATAATAAAAAATTAAATGCGAGGCTCAATATTAATAACAAGGTATAACAATAAAAGTTATTTTTACTTGAAGACTGTCAATGTTGCTGCTGTGTAATCTTCTTTAAACGCCCAGCCACAAGCTTTAATTTGGTTTGAATAGAGTAGGTAAGAGTTAAGAGCCTGTTAGGCATTTCATTTATCAGTCTGGGACCTTAAAAGGGGTAGATTTTCCATAATTTCCTATCCTTGCTGTTGTCACCAGGATAAAAGGCATTCACACTAATACAAACACTTTCAGAGTTTAGAACTCTTTCCTGTGTCCCCACTAGAGAGAATTACCATCACTTCCTGTCCTGGGGATTCTTCACAAAAGGGACACACACAGCAATGAAACCCTGACTAACCATTTGAAAAGAGTAAGTCTATAACGTAATTCAGCCATAACTGAAGCTAGATCATATTAATAAGTAGACTATTTATAAATTATTTTTCATTTTTACATTCATAATACAGTAAATTCTCAGTTATCCCGTATTCAACTAACCACTGTTTTGCTGATCTGCGGCATGTATTATCCTGGAAATGATTGTGTGTCTATTTGTCTTAATTTGCCTTTGATTACTGCATTTCAATAATAATATGAAGTCAATACAGAGCTTATGTTATGGTACAGTATGGGGTATGGCATCAGTTAGACCTATTTTTAAATAGCAACTCTCAAGCAACCAGAAACTAAATTTATCCAGAATCTACCATTCCCCGTGGATGCCGGATAATGGGGAGTTTACTGTATTATTGTTCAACAATAGGAAGTTGTGGTTGTAGTACCTCCTATATTACATTCTGACAATTCATAGCAAAAAGATGAAGACCTTCAAGTGCTGAAAACGGCGCCTGAACATTGGATATTAAAAATGGCAATAACCACTGAATTTAACATTAAATTACAAATTGTACTTTGACAAACTTGGTGGGATTTTGAGCGGCTCCAACTAATACTCTTTGTGAAGCTTTAGGTGCCCATACACCTTACCATTATCATAGGATAATCGTATCCGATCGCGTTTTCGTCCGATAATCGCAAGGTGTATGGGCAGTGTACAACTGCAAATACTGTACAATCGTATGACTTTTGACTTTCAAGCATGTTTGAAAACTTTGGCTGATCGTACGATTATTGAAGGTTAGTGGCGTTTCCGTACGTCAAAAGTCGTACAATCTACACTGCTCATGCGCCAAACGAAAATAAGCGCGGTCGATTACCGCAATTCGTCCAAGTGCTTTTCTTTAATTACAGCTAATTGAACCTTGCGGTAAATCGGGGCATAATGGGGCCGCCGTACGACAATTGTACGACTGTCCGATCATCGGACGAAAAGTGTCGACCGATAATCGTAAGGTGTATGGCCACCTTTATATTTAGTGTCCAGAGGTTCAGTCCTGATCCTTCACTGCCTGATGACTAAACCTGGCCATACACTATACAACATGGCCAGACAAATCCCAGGAACCAGATAGCAAATGCTCTTCAGAAATTAAAGCTGGGGGCCTAACTTTTGAAGTTTTCTAGTTGTTCTCAATGGAGCAGGCTCCTAAAAAAAAAAATCCTACTGCCTCCTGGATTCCATATTAATTTGTCCACATCTGCCATACAATCACCCCTTGTACAATCTCCTTTAAATCTACCAAAACTGCGTAATGCGAGGACAGACTTAAACAACCCATTCAATTTTTGACCAATTCATCCATGCACTACATAGTTGATAGTAGATCTTCGAGATTGTACAATCAGACTGTATGGTGTATGGCCAGCTGAAGAGTCTTGGAAGATCATTTAGGATAGGAGGAATTCAGATTTCACCGTAAAATCCTTTTCTCTCTGTTCATTGAAGGACACAGGGAACAGATCGTAGATCATATACCGTAGGGTTATAGATCATATACCGTAGGGTTATATCGCCACCGGCAGAAGGACGACGCTAGGCACAAAACAAAAGACTAAGACGGCCCAGGGGCGGCCCCTGCTGGTGGCCCAACCCACACATGCTGACAAGTTTCCAGTAAGTAAGAAGCAGTTAGGAGTACACACCCCACAAAAGAGGGGGGACCTGTGTCCTTCAATGAATGGAGAGAAAGGGATTTTACTGCGAGTACAAAAATCCTATTTTCTCTTCCGTTCATTGAAGGACACAGGAAACAGAATGTAGATCATGTACCGTCACAAAGCAGTAACAGGCAGAGGGGTGGGCAAAATCCAAATCCCCAACAAGACCCCACTAAAGGGTCGCCTGCAAAACCTTGCGCCCCAAGCCAGCATCTGCAGACGCCAAAACAACCACCACATAAAAATTGGCAAGGTTGTGAACAGAAGACTAAGTAGCAGCCTTACAAAACTGAGAAACAGAGGCACCATGGCGAAAAGGCCAAGAAACCCCAACTGCCATAGCAGAACGGGCAGAGACCCAGCAACTCACGGCCCCTGGCACAGCAGACTGGAAGGTCCAGCAAAGATGTCCTCCAGCCCGTGGACCCCGACAGCCTGGATCAGCAGCAGCAGACATGCGTCTGTGTCATCCGAAAATCACCCCCACGGCAAAAAGGACCGCCCCATCCACCCGCGGACCAGAAGTGACTTCAGGCGGGAAGGGCACGCTGCCCTTGTCCAAGATGGCGGCATCCGGACTAGGCCGTAAAAGGAGCAGGGACCTCGATTTTCGGCTGCCACCAACGTGCAGACGAAAACTAACATGCGGCCGCGGTACCGCTACCTTCCGTGCCGCTCACAGCCAGGCCCCTCAGGACCACCCAGACCCTCCAGGGAGCATCAGTCGGTCAAATATTTGTTTCTGGTTTTCAGATACAGTTGTAAAAGTTTAATGGTTTAGAAAATACCATTTAAACTGTTAAATATTATCCTCTAAAACCTCTTTGCAGTTTACATATGTAATAATAGTACACAGAGTATAAAAAGCCTTTATTTCCTAAACAAATTAAAGCCCAACTCCGGGCACTGCAATTTTAACATCTTTTTTCATCTTTAATGCTCACATTAAATCTGTAATGTTTTATTACTGCGGAAGCTCTGTAGGCTCTGCTGAGAGCTGCTGATATGTACAGTGGGAGCCACGCTTCCAGCTCCCCCACTAAATCAAAACAGGGTCTATGATCGACACCTGTTCAGGTATTGTACCTGTTGTAAAGTAGTTCGGTTTACTCATTTGTATGGAGATTGTAGGCCATTACGGGACTGAGCTTGGAGCGGTGGCAACTTTACAACACACACAGGGCCCATGGGGAATGAAAGTAGTCACCCTCCAGAAGGAAGGGCAGCGTCAGCACCAATTCAGAGATGATTTGAGGATGTACAGCCGAGTGACACACAAATAATATACATTTTTGATAATAGTTGGGGTAATTGAATGCATTTTTGAGATTTAACTCCTGGCTGTACCTACGTGGGGCTTTAAACCATAGAAAGAAAAAGGTGACCACTGTAATCGCTTCCCATATTTTATACCGTATCCCAGCATTTGCTACACAGCTTGGTCTATATCGGAAAAAAAATTTATATATAATATCTATCTCAGAGGTGAACAAAATAATATAGAATTCAGGAGCCAGTCTGTCCAATCCAGGAGCCAGCAGGATCTTCCTAGGAGTCAGCACTATTGCCAACAAGTAGAGAAAACCTCTAAAGTTAGTCATCGGCTGTAAATTTTAAGTAGCACTGGCTACATGGCTCCTGGGATTTGTCCCGCTCTGATCTAAAGGCATGTCAAATAAATGATTGAATACTATTACATGTATTGACCGCATCAGAACACAAATGTATTACAGGCCGTTGTCCTTTAAAAGGACAGTATACTAAAAATGGATATTCCGACCATGGGGTTCACCTATTCCTTGTATAGTTCACCCATCTCAATATAACAGGTTGAAGAAAGATTCTACTCTACAATAAATAGCAGTAAGTGCAAGGCCCTGCAATGCCTGTGACAGACCTATATTGTAACAAAATATAAACATGATTTGACAGAGCTGCACCTGACAAAAATCTTATCTTCAGTCAGACTGTCCCCTTATGATAACTTATACATGAAGCCAGGATCTGCTCCATCAGTGACGGACCATGATCACCTAAGGCAGCCATTGTTTCTATGTTCTTCCTAATCCACAGCAATCCCACTGTTGTCCCCCTATAACAACACTATGTCATGTGGGCTCATCAACATCCGAGGAACATAAGAGTGTTGATGGGGAGAAGCAGACATCTGAGCGGAAGGCAGGAGATCATGCCTATCCTTTGTTTACAAGTGTATTAGGGCGATCCTGCACAGGGATCATCACATCCAGCCCCATCAGCAGGTACAAACAGCAGCACAATCATCATTGTACAGTCACATTCATACTCCATCCTCTCCACAAAGCCCTCCATCAGTCCCCAAGTCTCAGCCCACCACATCCGCCTGGGGTCACCTCACAAGCCACATTCGAGGCTGCTTGAGAATGTTCGGCAGACGCCACAACGACCTTCTGTATACATCCTGGCAACCACCACCCCCCTTCAACCAATACCACAAACACCCCCAACCCCCACCCCGGGGTACAAACAAAGCACGGCGGCCCCATCATTCCTCCCCAGACTGCGGGGGTACCCTTCAAAAACACAACAGCACGCACAAATCTCCCCCAACACCGGCCTTCCTCACCACGCATAGCTCTGCTCAGCCATGGCGACGGCGGCTTCTCCTCCGGGGGTCAGGGCTCGGGCCCAGCGTCTGTCAGCGGCGGCTTTGCGGTTTCTCACACAACATTGCGGCCGGCTCTCACAATACGGTGGGGCTAGGATCCCGGAGAGGAAGGCCCATGGCAGACACGACGAAGCACGGGCTGCAGGTACCGAACTTGCACTAGCGAAGAGGCCGCGGCTGCGCGCTCGTGACTGGCGAACACCAAGCGCGCTCCCGATAGCTACGGAGAAGAGCGCGCACGCGCCGTGAGAGGAGAGTGCGTCAGGTGATCAGTGTAGGCGGAGCCCGCTTGCGCTCTCTCTCCTACATTATGTCACTGAGAGAAGAACGCACACACACGGCGGCAAAATAACAAACACAGGAGGCAGAGATCGTGCTAGCTGGGGGCGAGGCGGACGCCTCAGGAAGTCTATTGTCATGTTTAGTAGGCGGCTAGTCTTGCCAAACGTGAAAAAAACTCAAGACAAAACAATATATACACGTGTATATATATATATATATACATATATATATATATATATATATTATGCAGTCTGTCACTAGCATTAGCACAGCTGTCTTTGTTTTCTGTGACACACTTTTATTACCTGTTGATCCTGCCAGTAGATCTGTTATTTTTCAACTTCCTTGGAGTCGGATGTCTGCATCACACAGGATGGCGGTGGTGGTCTGGGATGAATTTATTCCTTAATGGCGACCCAATGTACCTAGCTATCGAATGCGCTTTGCATCACACCACAACACATGATAACCACTAAAGGCATGTGGTTATGTGCAGCTCAAATGCATTATCCCAGAGAGGCAGGTATATGCTCTGCGCCACATGTGTGATGTCACATTGCAGAGGTGTGAAAAGAAGCAGTTTTATGAATAGAAGGATCCTTGGGAGCTAGACAATGACTGATTCAAGGTGTGGAGAGGGGGGGTGTAGTATTCTGTCTCCTGTATATCTCTTCCCTGTCTCTGTAGTGTCTATATATTAACTCCTTTATCCTGCACATCAACCCCCTCATCACCATCCTCCCATTCTATGTCACCTTTACATTAACCCCTTCAACTCCTCCCTCTTTGTATGACCTGTATACAGTAGTAATAATAATAGGCTTTTCCTAGTGCACCTTTACCAAGCTTTATATAGCAAAAAATAATTAAAAACCTGTGCTTCTTAAATGTGAACTGTACCCACCAATGTAATGTCTCCCCAAACAGTTACTTTCAAGGCATGCCAACTGTCATGGTTGTCAGTGTGCTTATTTCAGCTCTCAACCAAACTTTCAAGCCCTCAAATGGCTGGCGTGATCACATGTGCAGCACCATGGCAACTGCAATACAAATAGAGGCCAAGATGGCACCTTCCTTGGCGGTAGTGTAAAGGCTAGGAGGGTGTAGTTCCAATGAAAACCTTATGTACCTCACAAACTGATATAAAACTAATTTGGGTACAGTGGTGAAGGACCGAGTAATTGTCAGTCAAAGTAACACAACACTGAGAACAGACACATGGCCTGGTAATGAAGGGGTGTCACAGGCTGGTACTCAAATGGTAAAAGAAGCACTTGAAAACAAACATTATTATAAGAAAGGTGTGAATGCAGCCTCTAAGACCCCATTCACATTGAGCGATTTATCGCGCAGTAATTCCTGCGATATCGCGGCAAATTACCGCGCGATATTGCGCTCCAATGCAATCCAATGGGGCAAAGGGTCCTGCTGTCGCGGGTCGTGTGTCACTACAGCAGGACCCTTTTTGGAGCGGATTTAGCCGCGATTCAAGCTTGCTCAATGCAAGCTTAAACGCGACATCGCGCGGCAAATCTCGCGATGTCGCGCAATATGCAAATCGCGCGACAAACGCGCGATTTGCATATCGCGCAGTGGGAACGGGGCCTAACATAGCACTCCATATCCCGTGCCCAGCAGAGGATCAATTCATCTTTGCGTGCTGGTATCTGGCAGTTGGCATTTCTGATGCTAAAACGCAGAAACCACTGACGTGAGGTATGATTTTAAAATCGCTCTCAGAGCAGATTCTGCAGAACTGTTGTAACACAACACTCCATTTTAATGTGGCTAAAGAGAACCAGTCATCCTTGGGTTTATATAAGGATTTGGGTAGAGGTTTGGAGTGTGGAAGGGTTAGAGCAGGGGTGGGCAAACTCTGGCCTTCCAGCTGTGGTGAAACTACAAGTCCCATTATGTATCTGTCTCTGGGAGTCATGCCTCTGGATATAAGAATTCTGTAATGCCTCATGGGATTTGTAGTCCCCCTGGGTTAGAGCTATTCTGAGGTTTTTTAGCTGTCTGTGACCTTCATAGGTGGGGGGCATTTGCTAAGACAGGAAGTGAGGGAAAACGTTCAAGAGATACAAAGACAGCAATAAAAAAGTGAATGAATGTCTTAAGCTGGCCATACACTGTTATATATTTAAACTGAGGGCTGAAGGAAAAACAAAAATGACAGGTTCCGTCACTGTCAGAATACTGGAACAGTGACAGCAACTGATTGGCTGCTGTCACTTTTCACCTGAAAATTTTCAGGTGAAAAGTGTTTGATAGTTTGATATTCTGTACATTCAGTTTATCAAGAACCGTCCGAAATTCCTTCTGGGCATGACCAGCTTTAGTCTTCTTCCACCCAACTGTAGTGTTCCTGTTTGAGGGCCCATTCCCACTATGTGAGGAGTAAAGACAGCTCAGTCCGTTTGAATGTGCTGGCGGCACAACTTAACACACAAAAAAAGGACTTCCATTTTCTTTTGTGATACACCACAACACATAAGTACATTGTGGTGCAGTGCAAGTGTGTTGCCCGCTACTGTAGTAAAAAATGAATGGCACTGCATTGCAATTCGTGCATGAACATGTGTTAACCATAAGATAACACAACACTAAGATGGAAATGAGCCCTAAAATATTTCATCCCACTTCCTGGTTGGGTGACAACATTGTAATCAGCGCAGGAAGTAAGAAGAAATCTCATCTATCCTGCTTCCAGTAACAATCATCCATTCCAAACCACATGTAATCGTATCACCTGATGTCACCAGGTCATTTATTTGGGAATGGGTACAGCGGCTGCATCTGAATGGGGAAAACTGGCATTCCTGCCGCAAGAATCCATAGGTTCCTGCCGAGAAAAAAAGCCAGATCATCCTGTGTGAACGAGGCATAAGTCCTATCTTTTTAACTGACTGTATAGCATTTTTTAATATTCTGCTATTGTGTTTAGGCATCATCTCCATTGCAGTCCTCTCCTCGTTGCTCGGTTTTCTCCTGCGGCCACCTAGGGGGAAACAAGGTCGTGACTATTGAAGCCTCTGCAGTCCTGTTTTGCTCACTCCAATGGGAGAATAGCTGCTGCTGTGTGGTTACAATCATCCACAGTAAGATATTGCATTTTTATACACCAAAACACCATGTTGTTGTAATGTAATTATGATTTTCTAATGGTGCTTTGTGTTACCTTATAGTCATATGTCCCTCCTGATGAAGCCACGGCTGTGGCAAAACGCGGAGAGGATTTTCCACAACAGAAACCGTCCATTGATTCCAACTCAGGACTCACTGATCAAAACTTGTCATCATCTCTGTATATGAGTATACGAGGTCTATGCTTACCAAGTTTAGGCTGAGCACCAATATGCATATTTGTTTTTATGTTTCGTATTTTTAATGTCTTTAATAAAATATGATATTTTCACACAATTTTAAGTGTCTGTGAAGGTCCTATAATTGCCCTAAAAGCCCTCCATGACTTCCAGCCCTTAGCTTTTTGGCTGCGGAACTGTCTCGTTTGTCTACATATTGCTTTATGGGTGTGGCTGTAGGACCTTCCCCTCTTGAACGTAATCTTATTACCCTTCTGATGGCCTATAGTGAACAAAGTAAGGGATATAGAATCCTCCACCCAAAGACTGACAAAGTGACAATTAGTCGCAGTGTTTATTTTGATAAGAACCCATCACCAGAAATAATGATCCCGGCAAGTTGTGAAGTGAAGCCGAACAGGAATTAAAACGAGGTGGAACTCACAATGGATAACTCAAAGTTTTGATAAATTCCCCTCTCTGACTTTTGTGGAGAAGGCCGAATGCTGGGGATCACATTTGATATCACTGGTGGCTAGGACCGATCGGCGGTCCTAGCAACCAATGACTACAAAGGAGGTAGACACCTGATGTCATTGGTTGATAGGACGCCAGTGGTCCTAGCAACCGATGACTGCAGACGAGGTAGACAGCGGACATCATTGGTTGCTAGGATACCAGTGGTCCTAGCAACCAAAGCTGAAAAGGAGGGGGCCTGCGCTGGGCTACGGCTTGCAATGGATGCACTGGCATGCCTCATTTGTGTATCATTCAGATGTAGATCCTCAAATCATCTCTGAATTGGTGCTGACACTGTACTTCCTTCTGGAGGGTGGTTACTTTTATTCCCTTTGGTCCCTGTGTGTGTTGTAAAGTAGCCACCATGCCAAGCTCACTCCTGTGATGGACTATAACTTCAATACAAATGAGTAAACTAAATGTGAGATTGTAGTCCATCACAGGAGTGAGCTTAGAGCGCTGACTACTTTACAACACACACAGGGACCATGGGGAAGTAGCCACCCTTCAGAAGGAAGGACAGTGTCAGTATGAATTCAAAGATGATTTGAGGATCTACAGCTGAGTGATACACAAATAGGACACATTTTGGTATTAGGTAAGGGACTTGAATGTATTTCTAAGATTTAACTCCTGAGTTTAGTGTCACTTTAATCAGTAGATAGATACTGTAAAAGTAGTCACTCGCACTCCATAAGTAGTAAAGTCAATGCTGTTTATTGACTGTGATGATACACATCTCCTAAACTGGGACATGAGGATTAAACTTTAATCAGTAGGACATAAGTGATCATACAGTATGACTAAAAAAGGCTTATAATACTACATGAAAGCATACATTATATTTTAACCTTTAAACTACATTCACACGGTGCGGCTGGGGACCTGTATTTTGAACCTACAGATTCTTAAGGCAGGAATCTCAGTAGTGCCATTGAGATGAGATTGCTGTGTCCGTTTAATTCAATGACCGGGTAACAGTGGCTGCATCTGTCCACATGTAATCACATATGATACGGTTACATGCGGTTTGGAATGGATGATTGCCGCTGGATGCAGGATAGATGAGGAGATTTCTCCTTACTTCCTGTGCTGATTACATTGTTTTCACCCAGCCAGGAAGTGAGACGAAAACCTGCAGATTGGGATAGATGACTGTCCCTGGATGCAATCTGTC